CCCCGCCTGCTCCTACACATGCAGGTGGAGACCACACACGCCTGCTTCGCTTCCCGCCAGTGCCCGCGGGGAACCGTCTCCGCATGCACCCCTCCCCACGCCTGATAATGTTGCGACACGAAGCACTTCTACAGCATACGTCTAAAACAGGTGAAACATTTAAAATATATGCTTGCAACATATGTGTATAGCCACTGCAACATATGCAACATCCGAGATAAGCACTTGCAACATACGTCTAAAATAGATTAAATATTTTGAATAGGCGCTTGCAACATATATGTATAACCACTGAACCATATGTAACATCCAGATAAAACACCTGCAACATGCGTCTGAAATAGATGAAACATTTTGAACAAACTCTTACAACATATGCAACATGTGCAACATCCCCCGATATATTTTTGTAACATCGATGAAACAATTGCAACACACCACTGAAACGTCTGAAATATGTGAAACATACATTTGCAACATAGGGGGACAGAGGCCTGGGTCAGTCGATTCCGGCCGACAGGGTGAGCCTGCGGATGAGCGGCTGCATGCGAGCGCTACCAACACCAGCACCAGCGCCACCTGCACCGGGCTTGCCTCGGCGGCGACGGTGGTATGGGGTGGGGAGCGCCATGGCCGCCGGGGTGGGGGCAGCTCGGTCGTCGGGGTGAGAGAGGGCGCCGCTGGAGGTGGGGAGGGCATCATCGCGCCGAGGTGAGGGAGAGCCGCCGACTCTCCTGCAACACCGCCGTGCCACCTCCATGGATCTCGCCAGGGTGGGGAGAGGGCCACCGGATCTGCAGGCGTTGGGGACTCCCGGTGGGTGAAGACATTGGGGTGGGGGGAGGGGCGCTACTGGGGTGGGGGAAGGAGCCTCCTGGGTGGGCGAGGGCGCACGCCGGGGTGGGTGAGGGCGTCGCCGCCGGCTAGGGAGGCAGCCATGGCTCCGCGTCGGGGTGGGGGAGGGCGCGAGCGCGGAAGGGATAAGGATGGGGAGGAGGAAACGAAGGGATAAAGTTTTTTTTAATAAACATGCAGGCAGCCGGGCAAGGGTAAAATGGCGTCCGGCAATTGTGCGATCTGTGGGACGACTGACACATGGCATTTCCCTATAAACAATGCCTCCGTCAGAGGATCATGTTGAAGCAAGAAAATAATAAATCAACAACAAATGTAATATATTTATTTAGGGCGTTCACCAGGGACAAGACCAAGAGATCCAACAGGTACGAAATCATAGTGTGCATGCAGTGCATGCATCTCCTAGCTACTAGTCTAAGCTGTTGCGTTGCGTTTCGCCGTTTCCTATACTAGTTTGCTTCATAGCATCGATCATCATCACATGATACTCCTACCGTATATAGTAATATGTTAGCGGGGTTTAAGAGATGTTGTGGACTCAAGTTGGTTAACAAGAAGTTAATTTCGTTCGCTTCAGCCTTCAGCTAAAGTTGTTAATGTTACATGTGGACGCGCGCAATGAGAGGAATTGCAGCCAGCCAACTAGTAGTAGTAGTAGTTCTTTTGTTTAGTAGCTGGCCAATCAGGGTCAAATTCCTTTGCCATGCCAACAAGGACTACAAAAGCATGTAGTATGTGCTTAATTGGAGCGGCCGCCGCCGCATGTTGGTGGACTGATGGTGTTGGCGGCGCGCGGGCTGTTGAGAGCCTTGAAGTAGTCGCCCCTTGTTCTCCAAGCTGGAATCCTATGGCCTGATGAGCTCCAACACCGTCACGTCCATCGCGATTTCTGACTGCCTATATATAACGTCCAGCCGGGGATCGAGCAGATTGAGGCCGCGCGTGTTCGCGTCCATAGCTACTGAACATATATAACGTCCAGCTGGGGATCGAGCACTACGGCTGCCTCACTGAAACTGTCGCCGGGTGGCCGAGGACGCGATCCGGGCGATGGCGCCGGATGCATGCGGCCGTGCGGGGCATGCTGTTCTCCGGGTCCCGGCTTAACGGTGAGGCCGAGTTGGCTGCGCATGCGGTGCGATCATATCTGCGCGAAAGCATGCACCGCGTGTACGTGCTTTCGGCATGCGTGTCGCCATGCGGCGGGAGCAGGAAGGAGGCACGCAGCCGCCGGAGCCGAGCCGGTAAGGCAGCAAGCAGGTAGAGAGGAAGCAATGCAGAACGACGAGGGCACTGGGCATAAGCAGCTGTGGAGCCGGCGAGCAGCCGAGCCATGCAAAGCTCCTGCCCCAGCGGCCGGATGCAGCAGGTGATGCAGGTTCTCTGCTTAAGACTAGCAGACTTTGCGGGCAAGTCTATTTAGGCCCACAGATAAGTTGCGCATGGGCCGGGCCGCTAGAATTATTTTCGCGGGCGGTCCTAGCAGGATAGTAGGCTAGCCTACGCCTGCTTGTGCTTGCATCCCAAAGTCAGCAGGCACGTTGTGCCTTCGTCTTGGTGCGCCCGCCTCTGGTGCGTGCGCCCAGCTGGAAAAAAGACGTAGTTTTTTTTTTCTCTCAAATTTGCTTCGTTGTTTTTTTTCTAGGGGCAAAAACGTCTTTTTAACAGTCAGTTAACACCGTTAGCTAACGGATTTGACGATAGTGTCAAATTAAGGATGAAAGTTGAAGTAGGTGTCAAATAGGGAACGAAGAAAATTTCAGGGCTAAGAAAGGAACGACTCATTTTCCCGGTGTCAAATAAGGAATTCTCTCATCTATTTTCCCCATTCAAATAAAAGGGCCTGGTAGTGTTTTCTTTGCTTCTCTGATGTTCTTAGCCCTGTACTTGTGAGTTTGGATCTGGCAGAAGCCCCCTAAACCCCTAAAGTTTCTATTGATTTTTTTAGTTTGAATAAATTTTGAAGAAATTTGTACCACTGCTCCCCACCCCACTAGGTGTGAGGAACACAATCCAATAATTATCTGGAAGTTTGAAGCAGAGGCTTACTACAATTTATTTAACCTGAAGATCTAACAAATGTATGAAGCCTTCCTCTATTACCTGCTTGCCTGCTTTACATTGTTACCTCTCTTCGATTACTAGTTTTAGGTGATTCCATGTGCTAGAAAGTTTAATGCTCTTGTGTAAGTTTTTTATGTCATCTGATAATCAGAGTGCTGGTTATTGATATAATTAAGTACTAAGAGGGGAAAACTAAGTCTCAATCATTTCAGAAATAATTGTTAAAATAGCTCAACAAGGAAATACTACTTCCCATTCATATTTTCTCTAATGCGTGAATGATTCTTGTCATTTAAATGGATAATAAGTATCATCTTTTGCTCTGTCTGAGGTAAGTGATGAAGGTCGCTTGATGACTGTACTGTATATTGCTACTAATACACTAATGTTTATGGTTGTACATCTGAACACAAATAAATAGAGATGGAGAAATAGTTTCTTCCTGAAATAGTTTCTGATTTAGTACTGCTACCTGAGATGAAGAAATTAGTACTGCTGAAATTAGTATTGCTACCTGTGATCACAATAAATTAATACCTTTGCTTGTGATCACAAGAAATAGTTTCTGATTTAGTACTGCTACCTGAGATGGAAAAATTAGTACTGCTGAAATTAGTATTGGATCTAGTCTGATTTCTTATGCATTTAGCTGAAATATTTCTTGCGCATTTGTCTGATTTAGTTTTCTGAATAAGATCGAGTTTAGTTCTTGCTGGTTGCAGCTGGAGTCTAACTTGACCCCTCTGCAGTTCAGTTTGTGTCGCAGGTTATAGCTGGTTATGTCAGCTTAGCTGAATTTTTAAAATTATAAATACATAAGTTGAGTTCTGCAGTTCAGTTTTCATTCAGTTGAGTTTAACTCGATTTCGTTGAGTTCTGGAGGTATGCAGTATTTATTTTTCTTGTACTCCTGTATCTTTTCTGAAATGCATTCCCTGCAGTAGCAGTTCTGCATTGGTATCTCTGTTTCTATAAGTTATCTGAATTAGCTGCACTCTCCGTTTTTCGGTCAGTTCAAAGCTTCTCTGTATTCCTATCGTTTGTCGGTACAGGTCTGAACTTGTGTGATTATATTTTTTCTTGCAATAGTGTTGCCTGTTCCTCTTAATTCCAGCACGTACTTAGTTCACATGAGTTTGCTTTTGTCCTAGCTGTAGTAGTATGTCTATCTAAATGTCCTGTATTTGCTCTGTAGTTCGTCAGCCAGTGGTAGTGCATTTGGTTCCTCTTTGTTTGCAGCTTGTGTTTAGTACACTTCAGTTAGTTTTTCCTTGTTCTTTTTCAGCTAGTGGTTAGCTTTTACAGTAGGCACAGTTTCGGACCTTGCTGATTTTTCATCAAGTCATAGTTTGATGGTAGCTTACCGTGATTGCCTCACGGTCAAAGTAATAGATTGTTAACATGTAGCTTATGTGACTTTTTTTTTCAGATTTCTACCACATTATCCTGTGTTCTCAATCAATAATAACTTCTCCTTTCATCTATTTGCAGGGGGGGAGGGCTCTTTTGTTGTCCTGCTGGTTGTGATGGCTGCAAGTGGACATTTCAGTAGATTTGTACTTGTCTAGTTGTTGATTACCTTGTCGGTTTAACCTGTGTTCATCCTTGGTTGAGGACTGGGCCTTCTCTTGGATCAAGTTAGGCAGTTTTTTTATTACTTTATCAGTGCAAGAGTGTTGTGACAAGTGAATTTGTAGATGACCTTTTTAATATGTAGTACTAGAGAAATTATATGCATGGTACTAATTTTGTGGATTGGAGCAGCATTTTTTAATTCTTTGATTTTTTCTGAATTTACTAATTTTTTTAGTTGGAGGGGATTTTAATCCCCGTGTCTCCCAAATGGTCGTCGGGAATTTCCTTCCGGCAAGGGAGTGGGTGTCAAATACAGGGGAGGAATCCCCTGTGGGATTCAAAAGCACGTGTTTTTCTCTCCCTAGCATCCAAAGGAGCCCTAAGGCGTTTGGGAACTGTCCTTAGCTCTCTGTTACATGACAAATCCAGATGCTCCAAGTTTACCAAGGCAAATAACTCTTCAGGTATCTCCTTGATTCTGTTCTCGCTTAGATCTTGGTATGTTAGCTCAGTGAAACTCTGAATGGCTCCAAACATCCTCTCATATCCAAACGATTTTGTGGAAGGTACAGCCTCTTGAGATTTGTGGAGCCAGTAAACGGATGAAGCTCCTCAATTTCACTGGACATTAATGAGATGCATTCGGCTCTGCTCCAAGGAATGGTGCGTGTAGACAGATTTGCACCAACTCCTGCACGAACTACCCACTTGTCCTTGTTGTCACTGCAGCCACAAGATATCCAAATAGCCATATCACGGATCACATTATGCATCTTAACACCAACTTCAATTGGCATTTCCTGATGGGTAAAGCGTCCTCTACCAAGAATGCAACCATCACTATCGAACACAGTATCACAACTGTCTAACAAACATGAAGCTGTAAGTTCACCTATTAGAGACTGTGCTTTTCTGTAGGAACCATGTATATCACACTCGTCAATTAGACCTAAGCCAATCCAGCATCGTATCAGGTCTCCCGTCGAAATCTCGTCATCCTCCGACCATAGTGAGCAAGTCAACAAACACTCTCTCAAGGTATCATTTCTTAGGCTATCATAACTGAACATGAGTTGTCTGAAAACAATATTTTCCATATGGAGGTCCTGATCATCCCCGCCACAGCATGACTGTTTCATGTAATGCATGGCAGATTCCCATTGTTTCGGATTACTTTTGCCGTACCCTTCCGACAGTTACCAAAGCTAATGGCAAGCCCTTGAGTTCCTCCACAAGTTCCTTTGCAAGGTCTTCAATACCAGCACTAGAAAATAGAGTCTCCTGTCCGACCTTGTCTTGAAATAGCTCCCAGTCCTCATCATTTGGCAAACATGCCACGTTGATCTCTTTTCTTACGTCCATTTGACCATACACCGTTTTTTGATCTTGTTGTGAGAACCACTTTGCGTCTCTGTTGTAGTCCATTTCCAAGGGGATACGGTATACCCACTGCTTCCAGATCAATCCGATTCCAAACGTTATCTAATAGAATCAGAAAATTTCTTGTTTTCAGGAAGTCCAAAATGATGTTAGCTCGAGATTTAACATCATCGCCTTTCGGAAACTCGAGCTTGAGCTTCTTGCCAATCTCGCCTTGGATTTTTTCCACTGAACCCTCTTTGGAGGCCGTAATGAAGATAACATGATCAAATAACGAGTCCCCAAGAAAAGCATTGTTGATCTTTGTCAGAAGATGGGTCTTGCCCACTCCGCCCAGCCCCCATATTCCAATGACACCCACTGAACTATCCGTAATATACTCCATAGCCTCATCAAATATTTCAACTCTAGATGGCTGCTGCTCTGTGGACGAACATGGCATCTCTTGGACGGAAGGTGGCAATGCTTCCACTGTAACAACGCTGGGTTGACCACTGAGACATTCTTGGAGCTGACGAAGCATGCCAGCTGCAATCACACTGAGATCCCAATTCACCTCATTTTGCTCAGATTCACAGATAACCATCCCAACAGAGATATTGGTATCCACGCTAGCCAGCCAGTTGTTGATCTGATTTGTTGCTACCTTGCACTCTCGCTTTCCAAGCTTAATCTCGTGATTGACATCATTTCCCCTCCCACGCAAGTTTTGCAAACATTGCTTAAGCTTTGTAATAACAATTCCTTCAGTCTGGAAGGCATTAATTAATATTAGTAACTAGTGACAAACATAAGTTAACAAAAATGTTGTTACCAAATTTGAGTTAACTGTAAAGACATGCCAGAGATGATGCTTCTTGATCCTTGATATGCATCAATTCCTTGGCAACACCAACAATATTCTGCCACTGTCCTGGTTCCCCTTTTTCCGCGCATTGCGCTGCCTATTCTTCAGCCTGTTCGGTTGGCTGGTTCGTTTCGTTGCTGGTTCGTGAAGAAGTACTGCTGGCTGATTTGTGTGAGAGAAAAATACTGTTCCGGCTGGAAATTTACGATCGTTTACGACAAGCCACAGCCAAACGAACAGGCTGCTTATCAGTTCTGATGGTAGAGCTCTTATGGTGATTCTTTGCTAGTAGTACAATAAGTTGCTGGTGAATTTCAATGTTAGAAGGATTACTAAGAGCTTGTCTTAATACTTGTCTTGATGTTATTGATTATTTTGCCGAATTTCGAATTCGGCATATTTCGAGGCATGAAAATCAAAGGCCAACATGTTAGCTCAGCTATGATGTCAGTGGACATAATTTCCATATTCAAGAACAGCCGATGCATGAAGATTTCAATTTTTTCTGTGTAGGTACAGACCAGTCTGCTAAGCCGACTGACCAAGTCGGCTCAGCCAACTACTCTTCTGCTATGGCCAAGTCGGCTAAGCCAACTGCTCTAGTCGGCCAAGCCGACATCTCCAAATCCGCTAAGCCTAACGGCCCTGTTGGCTTAGCCGACTCCCCTGTGACCAGCCCGGTCAATTTACCCGAGAAGCTATCAAAGCGGCCCGATATAAGTTCCAGTGATGTTGGGGCCGATTTAGAAGATTGGAGGACTCCCTTGTTGAGATATCTACGTAATTCAAGTGCCAAAATTGATAAAGGTGTTCGGCGGAGCGCTTTCAAATATGTATTATATAATGATGAGCTCTATCGAAGAACCGCCGAAGATTTGCTGCTTAAGTGCTTGGGATCATATTAGGCAAGAGTGGCTATGGGAGAAGTCCATGAAGACATATGTGGTATGCATCAATCAGCCCCGATGATGAAGTGGTTATTGCGTAGAACCGGTTTCTATTGGCCTACTATGATGGCCGATTGTTTTCGCTATTACAAAGGTTGCGAAGAGTGCCAGAAGTTTGAAAATATTCAGCTTGTGCCTGCTGCTATGCTTCATCCTATCATCAAATCATAGCCTTTTCGTGGTTGGGGGCTAAACTTCATTGACCAAATATATCCCCCATCTTCGAAGGGACAACGATTTGTGTTAGTTGATATGGATTACTTTACTAAGTGGACCGAGGGACTTCCTTTGAAGAATATGGCACACAAGGAAGTAATTGAGTTCATCACTGAGCATATTATTCAGATTCGGCATCCCTCAAACGTTAACTACAGATTAAAGGACATCGTTTGTGTCCAAAGAGGTGAGGGAATTTGCCGAATTATATAAGATCAAGTTGCTCAATTCATCTCCATACTATGCTCAAGCCAATGGCCTAAGCTGAGTCTAGTAATAAGACTTTGATCAAGCTCATCAAAAAAAATTGAGAAGAATTCAAGGAGATGGCATGAAGTTTTGTCTGAGACTCTATGGGCACATCGCATTTCAACGCATGGTGCTACAAAGGTTACTTCTTTTGAGTTAGTATATAATCAAAGGGCATGTTGCCTGTCGAAGTGAATTTGGATGCATACAGGCTTGCTAAACAAAATGATTTATCAGCTGTTGTGTATCATGATTTGATGATGGATAACATCGATGAGGTGACTGATGTGAGATTAAACGCTCTCAATGAAATAGAGAAAGATAAAGCTTGAGTTGCCTAAGCATACAATAAGAAAGTCAGGAACAAATCCTTCCAAGTGGGAGAATTGGTGTGGAAAACCATACTACCAATTGGATCGAAGAGCAATCAGTTTGGCAAGTGGTCACCGAATTGGGAAGGTTCTTACAAAGTGGTCAAAGTTATATTCGAAAATTCATATGTGCTAGAGACATTGCAAGGTGAAGTCTCACGAGAGCATTCAACGGGAGGTACTTAAAAGGGTACTTTCCAAGTGTTTGGCAAGAAGCCTAAGTGCTCTCCAAACAATGGCTGATGCATGTATCGCCCTTAGAAAAAATGGCCGATGTATACATTGCCCTTAGTCACTAAGCAGCTGATGAGATGGGTATCATCGCTATTTGGTTTTGAATAAGTATTTTCAGGTTCATGCATCATTCACCTGAAAACAGGGGGCACATGTTGATACTCAAATTGGGTCCAAGCCAATTTAAATAGGCCAATGACAGTTTTGGCCCAATCTAATAAAAAATTCATAAAGCGACATGATAATAGTACCACATTGATTTTTCTTTGGGATAAGACCACCCCTACCCCTTATAAATAAGGGGTACATGGTCGATTGAGTTCCCATCTATCCAATCGTCATACAAACCGATCTATCTTCTTTTTACCCCTTTTATTACTCCTTCTCCAACCCCTCTTGCTGTTCGTTGAGTTTCCCGGCGAGATTCAGTGGCATCCTAGGCGGCCTTACTGGTCCTAGGAGATCCTCCACATGCTCCTTCCTGACAGGTCTTCTTGGGAGAAGTTCGGGAGCTTTTCTGGTCAAGAACAGGCTCTACATCGGTCTCATCGGTCTTTAGATTGGTTTGATTGATTACGCCGCGTTCTTGCTACGTTGCAAGTTGTGTGCAACCTCTTTGGGCGTCCAAGGCCCTGCTGGTGTGTTGGTTTTGGGTCATCCTCAACGTCAACAAAATCCTTGAGCCCGGCGATATTGCCTGACACCAATCACAAATACAGTGAGGTTGCCGGCCAACCAACTTGGCACCAACGGTATCGATCGAGTCTCTACTCTTTGCTCCTCAGCCAAGTGTGGGTGTTTGGCACGACTTCTCTGGAGGAGTCAGAGTCGTTTCCAAAACGGCTCCGGCTTCTCTCCTTTTTACTGAAAAATGACTCCTCTAAGAAAACGTTTGGCAGGGCTCCTCTATAGGAGCTAGAGTCCGGGAGGAGTCTTGTCAAACAGGCCCTTAATTAGAGCCCTGTTGGTGATGGACTGATGGTGTTGGCGGCGCGCAGGCTGTTATTGAGAGCCTTGAAGTAGTTGCCTTGTTCTCCAAGCTGGAATCCTATGGCCTGATGAGCTCCAACAGCGTCACGTTCATCGCGATTTCGGACCACCTATATATGGTCACTCCCGCACGCCCGACGAGGTTGAGGCGGCCTTCGCGCCATGGCTACTGAACACAACGTCCGGCCGGGGATATCGAGCACTACGGCTGCCTCACTGAGGCTGTCGCCGGGAGGCCGAGGACGCGATCCGGGAGATGGCGCCGGACGCGGCCGTCTGGGGCACACAGCTCTCTAGGTGCCGGATGGCGCCGGACACGGTGCGAGGCACGCTGCTGTCCGGATTCTGGCTGCACGGTGGCTGCATGTGGTGCGATCTGCGCGAAAGCACCGCGTATGTGCTTTAGGCCACCCTGTCGGCATGCGGCAGCAGCTGCAGGAAGGAGGCACACAGCCGCCGGAGCCGGTGAGGCACCAAACAAGTAGAGGAAGCAGCGACGCAGAACGACGAGGGCACTAGGTAGTAGCTTAGCAGCTGGAGCAGCCGAGGCGTGCGGTGCAGAGCTCCTCCTGCCCCAGCGGCCGGATGCAGCAGCCAGCAGGTGATGCAGGTTCCCTGCTTAAGACTAGCAGGCTTTACAGGAAAGCCTATTTAGGCCCACATGATAAGTAGCGCATGGGCCGGGCCACTAGATTTATTTTCGCGGGCGGTCCTAGCAGGATAGTGGTCTAGCCTATGCCTGCTTGCATCCACGCCCTGGGTTACCTGTGCCTTTCGTCTCTGTGCTCGTGTGATATTTATCATAGAAAGTACAGTATATTTCTAATAACTTATAATAAAACGAATTGGTATTTAAATTGCAAATATAGTTTCTACCCTGTGAGATCCTATAGCTTAACGAAGATGCAGTTGATTTGGTATAAGCTCGCAATATAAGTACTTCATCTGTTCTAAATTATAAGTCATTTCGACTTTTGTAGGTATAGTTTTACTACGTATCCAGATATACCATATGTCTAATATAATGTAAAACAATATATCTAAAAAAGTCAAAATGACTTATAATTTAAAATAGAGAGAGTGTTTTCTAACTTATTGGCATGTGCCCATGCACGGATTGCTGGGCTAATACATACAGAGTCATAATAACACGTCACAAATGCTTATAATAAGAGTTTTGCTCTATTGAGTCTCTCAAAAAAGTTATACCCATCTTAAAGCGACTTAATATTAATTGTTTTTTCATAATTAATTTATCCATGGGTCTGATATGGTCCCAACCCTATCCATACCAATGTTGAGCCCAACACATGTTCAGGCGATTTTTTTGGATCCAATCCACGTGTGCAGTGGTGCTGTTTTGTCCAACCAGATGACAAAGATGAGACCTGGAAGCGCTGTTGTGGCGCAGACGGAGCAGGCATGACGCGTCGGCACGGCACACGGCTATGCAGCACCGGACCGCGGGCTATGTCAGTGTGAGAAACCCACGTGGAGGGATATGAACATATGGCATATAAAGTTTATGGACCCAAAAAAGCCACTTTGAAAGTTTATGGATCTAAGTGAGACCTCCTCACAAGGTAATGGGTCTCTGGTGCATTTTACTCTAAGTACAAATTTCTTTGGGAGGTCCACTAGAGTAATAAACAGATCATAATAATCAGATTACGATCCAAATATGATTGATTATATGATGGATTGTTATAATAAAAAAAACCCTTATTTTCATAATCCTATAACTCAGATGAAAGATGATTTAAGGGGGGTTGTATATAGGTGCTACAAGTGCAACTTGTCTACCAACCAATTGTCCAACTTACCAAACCAAAAGATAAGATAGGATTTTCCCACTTTAGCCAACCATAATTAGCCCCAAACATGCCCAGAGTGTCTT